CAGCGGAAACCGACTGAGAATCGAACTGCATGTGATGATACGACCTCTGCAAAAAACAGCTGTGGCGTTCGAAAAAATAAGTGGCCTTCTGCATTCGATCATTTATTCTATTGAGGCACACATCAGGTTTTTCTCAAAGAGAGCTTCTGAAGCCTCACTTTCATGAGAAATTTGTTTCCTATTTCCTTCACACCGTTTCCGCTAAAACATTTCTGTGTATCACGAAATTCTCATCCTCCAACCAAAGAATGAGTATATTTAGGCTTGGTTGTTGCCAAAAATCGAAGAATGTTCTGGTTTCGTTACCGGTTTTTGGCCGGTAGACCATGAAAAGCGCCTTCTTAAAGAGATCAGCTAATCAAGTCTGCTTCCCCAATAAATGCTTATTAGGTTGAATAAATGAGCGGAGCTTACTAACTAGCCAATGCAGTCATGCATTTTGTGCAATTTTACTAGTGAACCCTTGCTGTCGGAAGCTTTACAGTTTGATACGTACACTCATTTTCGGAATATTATTTTGATCGGTTTTTTTTAACATCTTGTATGCAAAAGGTGGATTTTAATTTTTACTTTTACACACGAACATCTACCTGAATTTTCGGGTTTCTATCTAGTTTCGAGTTAAAAAATTCTTCGCCAAAATTTCATGTCTCCACACCCGAGGCGTAGGCTTATTTGAAAGTTACATTTAAATTAGGCCTGCGATTAAACTCAGTACTAAACCTAGTACACCAAGGAAGCCCAAAAGAGAGGATTATTTTTTACTGGAGTTTGCGTCTCTTCTCCGTCTCTGTCTGCACTACGCTAGTTCCAGAAGCATACATTAGCTTTCTGAGAACGAACTGCAGCAGCACTACTATCTTCTCAGTTGCAGAGTACTGTGCGCAACAGATTCCATGCCCCAGTTCTGGACTACTTGCACTCTCAAATATATTATGAATCCAGCAGGTCGCTGGTTTTGTTTTGACTAGTAAACAAGTTAAAAATTGCTTAGAGCGTTTGATCATCGGCTTGAAAGCTCTGGTCACTCGGATGACACCCATTGTGTTGACTGTGATCAACCGCTCATACTCTTCCATGTTCAACAGGTCATCGAACATATTCGTTCCCGGTGTAGCAGCATTATTCACCACCGCATACAGCTCTGTATGAAACTTGCTTTAGTGAAAGCAAAAAAGAAGTCCCGGGTGACAAAATGGACCGTAAAGTGTTGGTCACAATTTTCTGTCTACATTCTGTGTGATTCAGCGTTAGCTAGTGATGTTTATGTGTGAGAATAGAATTATAAGCAAGACTACGTAATGAGCATTTATAACGCTGCTTCCAGCAAAACGAGAGTTTTTCAATTTTTCTAAACTTCTTGGAAAGAAGTGTTCGCATTTCCTTTCTGGAAGAGCAGTGTAAAAATGCAACAGATTCCACAGACCCTTGTTGAGCTGTTGCAGAATTTCTGAGACGTATGTAACAGCGCTACTGACGCTCTCGTCTGATGAAATATCCATCTGGAATGCAAAGAAGTGTGCTCGGTAGCTGTCGCGGCATTCTTCGGCCAGTTTATCGGCACTCTACAACCAATTTTGTTTGAAACACAAGCAGCTGGCGCATTTATTTATCAGTTAAGGTCGACCGCTTTGGCAATATAATCCACGTAGTTGATTAGCTAGGATTTTTTAATCGAAATCTTCTGAAACGTGTTGGAGAGAAAAAATGAGAAACCAAATATACTTTTCAAAAAACGTGTTTTAAAAAATATCCTTTCCATTTGTTTACTAACACTTCAATATAATAAGAATAATGATGATAATAATAGCAGTAGGGATGAATTTCAATAGTAACAACAACAATTATACTAACAATGATAATAACAATAATAGTAGCAATAACGGCAGTAATAATAATAATAATAATAATAA